TCCAAGAAGTCTAAAATGATAATATTATACATGTTAACCCCGTTCGCAGGTGTTTGTGTGCTTGGTAGCTTAGCTTGTTACTTATTAGCCAGCTAAGGACGTAACCCTTTATGCATACATATACATTTTAGTTTATGATTCAGCCTTGGGTAAGACTTTTATAGTCTATGGCTATGACGCCCATAATGCTAAACGGGAGCAAATGTTAATAGGGGACCCAATTATCCCAGTGGTGGCCACCGGAGCTAACGGAGCCGCAGGGGGCTAGCTCCAGCCGGCGTCCCGGAGCTAGCCCACTGCGGCTCCGTTAGGTCCGGGCGGTGGAGTCCGTCTTTTCTCAACGTGTGAATGACAAGCATTAAGAATAATAAAATATAGCTAATTCTCTTGCAGATTGTCTCATTTGATTCAATTCAAAACCTTTATTTATCCAGGTAAAATCCCATTGAGATCAATGATCTCTTTTTCAAGGGAGACCTGCAGCAGTAGGTTCCACAAGAAGACATAAACAACAGAACAACAAAAGGACATCATACAGCAAAATGTACAGGGATTACAATTTGCTGTATGATGTCCTTTTGTTGTTGATTATGAATGTAACGTTTATATAGGGGAACTACACTGTTAGCAGTAACTTGGTATGCATGTATTTCATGTTAGCTTAGCTTCTTAGCCTGAGCTAGCTCTGTTTACTTCCAGTTCGGAGGCAGCAGGTCCCGCCTCGGCTCCGCCTCTTTGCCCTTATTTGGAGCAGGCGGGATTAGACTGACGTTGCTGTCAAGCCGTTAGTGGCCGACTCCGCCTACTAAGGGCTTCACGGCAACTCTGCAGAATCCTATGGGTGACGTCACGGACACTACGTCCATTTATATATACAGTCTATGGTTTTAATTCATGGCGGAAATATTTATCGTTTGGACATGCTCATCTCCTAGGGCAGTGGTTCCCAAACATTGTGCCGCGGCACACTGGTGTGCCGTGAGGCAAGTCCGGGTGTGCCGTGGGATTTTGTGACAACCATACGTTATTATTGCAATATACAACTACACAAAAATAATTATTTTTGTATTTACTATAATATCAGTACTTTGTAGGTTTATATGTACGTAATCTGCGCGACTTGCGCGTCCACATCTCCACGTGCAGTGCTGCATAAACATGGCTGAGTCAGCGATAACTTTCGATGCCCATTATTTTGAGTTTGTCCGAAGAATAGACACGAATGTGACGGTGAGGTGCAAACTGTGCCCAGGCCAGAAGCTTTTATCCACTGCTGTAAACACCACGTCAAACCTCAACAAACACCTGCAAAGAACACATGCTAAGGTGAAGCTACCGCACACGCTATTTGTTGTTTGTTTATATCACGTCGTCTGTTCTTCTTCTCTGTCTTCCGGTTGTTGCCTGTTTTGAATGACAAATACACACTACCGCCGCCTGCTGGTAAGGAAAGTTATTGCCACTCAGGCATGCGCAAGTTCGTATGTACTCGGCGAGTAAAGTAACGAGTTACTTTATGTAGATAGTAACGAAGTAGTGTAATATATTACTTTTTTTAAAGTAATATGTAATATATTTTTTAAAAATCGTAACGACCCCATCTCTGGAGTTGGCGTTCTTTACTCTGATTTACATGAAGAACAACAGGAGGTCACGGGACTCACGGCTCTCTGTTGAACAGGACTTGCGAGTGGCCCTCTCCTCAGTGCCACCAAGGATTACAAAATTCTGCGCGCCCCGACAGGCACATGTATCTCACTAATTTGTAAATCGGCAAAAATATTTACAATAGCACATGTTTCAATGCTGATTGCTGAAATGTTAATTTTGTGACCTGTCTGGTTTAAATGAGTGTGTTGCTGCTTTGATGAAACCTAAATTTGATAAAGTTTCAAATTAATTTCTGAAATATTTCGTTAATAAATATTTAATGAGTAATATAGTTGTCTGTCACATTTTATTTGGCATTAGTAAATAATTATGCACATTTACAGATATTTTACATGATATGAGTGATAACACGTGTTATAAGGGCTATTTTGCACAATAGGTGTGCCTTGAGATCTTTACTTGTCCTTTGGTGTGCCTTGGGCACAAAAAGTTTGGGAACCACTGTCCTAGGGTAATGTGTCTGACCCTCCACCGATGCTGTATACGAAGTTTGGTGTTGAAAAACTGAAAATTGAAATGTAAGTGAATATTTCATGTAAATTATGCCAATTAAAAAAAAAAACATGTAGGCGGAGCTTAGGGTTCCAAGAGGATTATTTGTAGAGCAGGTCCTCCCGGATATGTGTGCAAAATGTCAGGTCATTCGGAGTTACGGTGCGACTTTGTACATTTATTCCGAAATGGGATTTTGATAGGTGGTGCTAGTGAGCAGGTTGGAATATTTAACCCATTGACTCCAGAATGTTGTAATTTTTACCGGTTCGGGTGTCCGTGCAAAATTATACAACTTTTTAAGCGTCCTAAAGCCCTCAAAAGCAGGAATGATGGCGACTAATAAGAATAATTCCACCAATAACAATAGGTGCCTCGCACTTCGTGCTAGGACGCCGTTGGGTCCTAGCGCTCCGTGCTCGGCCCCTAATTATTTTCAAGGGAAATTAACTAATGTTAGCTAACTGGGGAACAAATTCAATTAAATGTAACGTTATCTAGATAACGTATCATCACTCACTGCATGCTGTTGTCGAGGCCACACAAGAGGGCTGCTTCCGCACAGAGCAGAAGAACACGTGCTATAAAGGAAAAGGAGCCAATTAGCCAACAACTGTATTACTGTACATACACTTAAATAATTTCACTTGGGGATCAAATTCAATGAAACGTAGATAAATCACAGTCACGCGGTCTGTCGAGACCACACGGTCGAAACGTGCGGGGACTGATGGCTGCTTAATAGGCAACACTGAGATAGTGCTAGAAAAGAAATTGGAAGAAATAAAGTTGTTAGCGAAGTCGGCTAACTATACCGATAAGGACCGACACCAGAACCTCTTAGCTAGCTAGCTGTCAAACTAACGTTAGACATGTGCAATACGTTGGTGTTTGTAATGACATAATATTATGTAACCTAGCTAATGTTATCCAATTTGACATCCGTGTCTAATTCGACAGCTAGCCAGCTAGCTAACGTTTAGCAAGCAGGTGCACGGCCAGTACAGACAAATATTCTTAGCAAGCTAGTAAACATTAGCTACCACACACACAACTGTAACGTTATTTTCAAATTAAGTAATGTTAGATAATTGGGGAACAAATTAAATGTAACGTTATCTAGATAACTTACCGTCACTCACTGACTGCAGTCTGTCGAGGGCGAGGCCAAGCGATCACACTTGCTGCAAGACGGACTGATGGCTGCTTCCGTTAGACGGAGACTTGACGGAGAACATGCTAGAAAGGAAAAGGCGGCAATTACCGAACAACTTTTTTACGGACACTAGAGCTTGTTAGCTCGCTGTCGAACTAACGATAGACATGTGCAATACATTAGTCTTCGTAAAGATTACATGTTATGTTACATATCTAACGTTAATTCGACATCCATATCTAATTCGACAGTTAGTTTAGCAAGCAAGCATTGAATGTATGGTCTGTGCACCTGCACCTGACAGTCAAATGGTAATAATTAGCAAGCTAGTAATGAAAACAATACATTTACGCTACCTACCACACACAACTGTATTTTCAAGCAAAATCAATGTAAGCTATCTGGGGAACAAATTATGAAACGTAGCGATAATTTACTGTCACGGACTGCGGTCTCTCGAGACTGAAGGTTGCATCAAAAAGATGGCGGAGATCTAAATCATTTCACGCACATCACGTAAAAGTACCCGGATTGAGAGAACACACTATCCGTCGTTACATATGTTTAACACCATGATCCAACCCTGTACTATATAGTGTTTTAACAACAGGCGGTGTTAATCATGTTAAATGTAACACCAAAACCACAACACTTTACCACGAAAAGCTCTAACACCAGAATTTTCACACTGGCGAATTTGCTGTTTTTTTTGCTGTGAATTAGCCATAAGAGATAGTAGCCTACATTGTATAAATAATATAAAAAATGTTTCTTGTATCTGAATGTGATGAGGATAACATTATAAATTGACAAGGAAAACTAAAAACAATCATTAGCACAAAGCTACAATGTTACTATTTAATTGCTTTGCAGTTTGTCCAAATTAGGAGCTTGTTAAAACACAAAATACTTACAGCACCAAGTAAATATAATCTGAATTTAAACGCTAGGGATTTAAAACAGCACTCTAGTATATTAGAAAGCTTCAGGACTAGACACGTATAGTGCCATACATATCCGCTTCCACATACTTAATCAAACAAAATTAACCTTTGGGTTTTGGGCCGGGTGTCTGGTCCTGCTTTAATCCAACCTTGATGATAACATCATACATTTTTTAACAAGTTTACATTAATCTATCAGCAGGAAACAATGCAGGCCTACATGTGGATCAAGAGCGTGCTAACCAAAAAACTCATGGTGACTATAATGCAACTCAAAAGTGTGTCCTGTAAATGCTATTTCATTTGAATATAACCCTAGCGCTAATATATTGTGTTAGCTACAAGATACATCGACGATTGCAATGGATTCCAATGGACAGGTAGACAACTCTAATTGAGAGATTGAATGCAGCTTGAATATTGGTACAAGTGTGCCACCCAGTGGACACCAATAGTATGTGCAATGGTAAACCACTACCTCCATTTATCTCTTTATTACCGTAGTAAAAAAGTACTGCAGTAAAAAAAAAAGGAATAAAACATTACCTGCCTAGATTAAAACGTATGTTTGTGAGGGCTCTTAGCTACACTTTCATTCCTTATTGTTGTCATCAATGTTATTTTAATATGGAGCGAAAGCCTATCCGCTCAACAAACAATTAAACAGGTGGGTCCAATCAGTCACTAATTAACGCACGCTACATAGGGTTACAAACACCCGTCCTCGAGCCCGAAAACTAGGAAACAATTCCCAAAGCACTCGATAAAGCGGTCGACGTACTTAAGATTGTCAAAGTAGTTAGACACTGTTTAAAATGACTAATGATGCATCTAAAAAGAAGGGGAAGGGCCCGGGAGAGAAAAAGGGCAAACGAAAGGCCAAAAGAAGAGAGACTTACGCGATGTACATCTATAAAGTTTTGAAACAGGTGGGTGGAACAAAAAGAAAACGTGTAAATGCTTCGATGTTCCAATTGAGTAACCCAGCTTTTCCTCTCTACCGTCAAAGGTGCATCCGGACACAGGGATTTCCAGCAGAGCGATGAGCATCATGAACTCCTTCGTGAATGACCTGTTTGAGAGGATCGCCACAGAGGCCTCGCGACTGACTCAGTACAACAAGCGGTCCACCATCACCAGCAGAGAGGTACAGACCGCCGTCCGGCTGCTGCTGCCTGGGGAGCTGGCCAAGCACGCGGTGTCTGAGGGAACCAAGGCTGTAACAAAGTACACCAGCTCCAAATGAAGACTTCAATACCACACACTTTCTGTGACAGAGATTTCAAACTGTGTTTTTGTTACGTTGTTGAATTCAATAAAACATAAGCACAAAAAGCTTTTCTTTCCATTTGATGTAATCTCCTGTAGGCCTACTGCTTTCATTTAGAGTGTAAAGTCATTATGAGCCACTAGATGGGGTAATTGCACATCTTTCATTTTGCAGAGTTATTGTCTCGGTGTTGTGTAAGCCTACGAAACATTACATTTTGCAAACAAATGCACTGCAGTTTGGCGAAAACACCTGTGCAGTGCTACACTAACCTACATGCATGGTATCCGTATTATGCTACATTAATCTGTTCACTTCCGCGCATTTGCAAAGTGTTCATATGGGAAAATATCTAGCTGTCAGTTTATGGACAGACTTATTGTCTCGGTGTTGTGAAGGCCTACATTACAGCTTTGAAACGTACCATTTAGCAAACGGATGCACTGCAATTTGGCGAAAACACCTGTGCAGTAATACAATAACCTACATGCATGATATCAGTATTCTGCTACATTAAGATAACACTACTCCGCATTTGCAAAGTGTTCATATGGGATAATATCTAGCTGTCAGCTTATGGACAGTCTTAACACAAAACATTTTATTTTTTTTAAACTCATGGAAGTTAATAAAAAAATGCTTATCACGATTCAAGAACATCATTAACAACGACATGTATTGTGTGCTGGTCCTCTAGGTGCAACATGTATAATAAATTAAACGATCCTTAAAAGCGAGTAAAGCAAGCCACAAATGTGTTATTTAATTATGTCAATTAACAGTTGTCTTACAACCGAGTATTTAGCTCTATAGCCTAAGTATGTGTTATAGCATAGTGGATACTGATATACCAGATATGTACATATTAAGTCAAAATGTAACTTGTGTGTAAATAGTGGCATTTCGTTAAGTATGAGGGGGTTGTTGAGACATCAGCCTTATTTATACAAAACAATATTTTGTAAGTTATGCACTTAAATCTTCACACACATACTGTACATGTAGTCTCCTATAAACCAAATGGCAAAAGGCACCTGTGTTTTTAGTCGAGACACAAATACGGGTTGTGAGAGAACACATGACAGGTGCCAAATTAAACAGGTGGCTGCGATTTAGAGAGGATAACTGGAGTTTGATCAAATCTTAAACAAAATGACTGTCACTCAGCTAATCGCTTCTTGATTTAGCATAACATAGTGATCTCGTGAATCTCAGTTAATATTACATCTTAAAATATAATGAGGAAGAAGCTCAGATAGTTTACTGAAACGAACACAACTATTACAAGTATACATTACTTAATCTTGGCAATACAGCTAAGGTTAGCATGAAGTTAGCTAGCAATGATAATGACATATATCGTTACTGTTAATGAGACAAAACAGGAAAAACTTTCAAACAAAACCCCCCAAAAAGTGCTGTTTGACGATGCTACCAATGTTTATTTGAAGACGGCTCTTTAAGGCTGCACCAAAACAAATATTCCTTCAACAAGTATATAAAAGGGAATTTAACTTGTTTCTAAAGTAGGGACTGTCGAAACAAAGATGGCAACCAGAAGTGACATTCCGGTAGGCCACAAGAAAATTAAAAACGGGATATGGCACTTAATTACTCAAAGATAAAAGTGAATGACATAAGTGTTGAGAAATGAATGCCAACAAAACAGAACAAATTGGTTTTTAAATTGCAACAAAATTAATGGAAATTATTTTCACACATTAAACTGCCCAAAAGCACAAGGTCATGTCACAATGTTGATAAATACAATATATTGTGCAGCCCTATTGTAAAACAATCTACTGTTCTTTAAAGTTGAGTTTCATATTTGAGGAAAAAGGGGCATAGTTTTTTTTTCACCTTATACTATATCTTTATCGAAACCCTGACAAGAGCCATTATTCAGTCAGCTTTCGAAATTGACATATTTATAAACAGACAGAGGAAATAATGCAACATTGTATGCTTGTTATGCATCCTAATCAGGGTTTTAAAAGACGACACTGTCAACTGAATAGCACTTGATTACAGGATAATGACACCAGCGTTTGTACCGGTCCAATCTGCATAAAATGGAGGAACTGATAAAGGTCTCTCTAATTACGATGGTGTTTACATCAGACATTACATACACCTATTATGCTACTCTTGTCAACATCTTACAAAGCCGGGTTCACTATGATAATGCACTTGGATGTGACTCCCACCGCTGACTGTTATTGTTAAGATACCCATTTAAGATGCTTCCGAGTATTCTTGGTAATGATGTGAAATCTACAGATGTTATTATGAGGGTGATACAGTTTTTGATGGCAGTAACTTTGTTCATGATTATCATGCCCATTTAGGTTTTGTATCTTGCACCCTTCCCCATATCCCCTCTCATGCCCATGCCTAGTGGTAGTCATCGCTGTCTCCTTTAGGCAGACTGCTATGAACACATTATGGATAGATGCATTAGTGAGTGATGCAGAGCCCAGGCTGGCTTGCCTTGTTTTCGTGTGAGAGTGCATCATTAGAAAATGTTCCACTTGGCAGGGAAGCACGTATTAACTGCAACCGCAATGAAATGAGGTTGTGATAGATGGTTAAAGTTATACAGGACTATTAGGTTGAAATATGAACCTCTCAATTGTCATGATGAAACAAAGGGCTATTTGCGTGGTGATCAGTGCATTGAGAGACAATTGGAATCTGCAAAGACCGATACAATACATTATAGGTAGTGGGCTCAGAGCTGAAAGAGTACAGAAAAAGTAATCATGCTTCCACAGAATAGTTTGGAGCTACTGTTCAATTCAAGGCTCTATAAATTCATTTAGGTTCTCCACCAACATCTCAAGGATTGTGATGAGACGTGGGGGGGATTTGCAAACAGGGCACCTTGTCTAAGCCCTGTTGTGGACTTTGATGGGCCAGAGGAAACCAGTGTTGATGGCCTCTCAGAGGCATTTTAATGGCATAGAAGACTTAAAACAGACACTGTTTATCTACCATAATGTGCCCATACCGACTGACATTACGATGAGAGTCAATATGATATGAAGAAGAGTCAAGATGTAAATCAGATTTAGCAGACAGAGGTGTAAATGCAGCAGCTGCCCTTTGCATAATGACGCTAGCCAATGAAGCCTGCTCCTTATCTCTTATCAATTCTCATGGTGACCTCCAAGTTATTCTACCTCTAGAATACAAACTTCAGACCCAATTTCTATTTAACTCCAGTGTGTAAATTACTTATTAATTCCTCTCTTACCAGCACACCTGATGGATAATTTATTGCTCTGATTTCATGGGGCACTCTCTAAACTTAGACTGTCTTTGCATGCACTATGTCTCACATTTAATTGCAAAGCCATTAGTGTTTAATATTACTGTAATTACTGTGTACATTTCATTATGTTCTCAGTATATTAAATGACTGTTCAGTGTGGAGGGAGGGCTATAGTTTAATCTCTTTCTGTATTACTGTGTGCCACAGTACTCAAAACAGCATTAAGAGGCACATAATCAGAGGGAACTAATTGCCTATGATTGCATAAATGAAGTGCCTTACTCTCATCAGGCCTGTTGCTGATGTCCACCCTCTCGCCACCTTGGAGGGCAGTTGACCACAATGCAGGAAACCTTGAGAGACTGCTTCTGGTGGGTAGTGTAAGAAAACCAAAGATTTAGTATGTCCACAGGGGGCTGGGAGGCCAGGGGGTATTACTACTGCTGATGTTTTGTTTTTTTTGTCATCAGAGTTGCCTCCGCTTCACAGAGGAAGGAAAAAAAGAAAGAAACATGAATGCCCACCATTTGAGAAATGAATTTATCGAAGTCGCTGTCTTTTTCCCCATTAGTAAGTGTTTAGTTCAGCGTTTTAAATAATTGCGTTACCAGGAATGATATTTAAAATACATTTGGGAGTCAATGAGGCGGGAAAGTGCCTACATGTTTTGCTGATGACACCCGGGCCATTTGGAAGACATCAAAGTAGAGAGGAGGTAGCCCAGATGCATATTATAAACTCATTATGTATATCATTTAAAAGGATGTACTCCAGCAGCAAAAACAATATTCCTAGTCTCTCTCTGGTAATGTGTGTTTTCAAAGTTGAAACTCTTACTCGCCTTCAGTTTAATGTGGCATCTATTACCAAACTGTAACATAAAATAAATGACCTTGATTTCCATACCAGAACAGTCGTTAAGGTATAGATGAGATGCAGCGATGCTTCCGTGTTTTCAAATGGGAAAGAAGGTAAACCTCTTCACAAATATCGTATTCTTCTTCACCTGCAGTGCAGACCTTGTTTTGCACGGAGCTTTCAGGCACCTTGATGGATTCACAGAGGTGGATAAACACACATGAAAACGTGTTTGATTTTAGATATTGTGCATCCATTATAGCACATTTTAATGGATAGAGATATATGAGCAAGTTAATCATTCTCAAACGACTTAAAGGCAATCCTTCCAAGCCATGAAAATCTTTCCTTGGTGTCTAGAAAGCTAAAAGATGGAATGGGATTTTGCTACTGGATGGAACTTCTAGCATTGGAAAATGACGGCCCATCACTCATATGAGATGTTTGTCAGATGCCTAGTGAGTAGGCTTAAGAGGCTTAATTATGCGCCGTCCCTCCGCCATCAGAACACTACACGTGGGGCAGAGTGACACAGCGGTTGCCAGTCATTCAGCCTAATGTTCTAATGCAGGGAGCCATGTGGATACATCAAATCCATTAAGGCTCTTGAACGGAAAAAACACTGAGCAGAAAAATACATTTTGCAAACACATACTCACATGGGCTTACAGGCCATTCTTATTTGCCCTTGTCAGGACATCAAAAGTTGTCTGCTGCTTTTCATTATTTATATAAGTTCAATATTGAACATATGCTAGGAATGGTAAGGGTGAATCCAACTACCTGACCCTTAATATTGCCAATTTCTGGAATAGGCTGTATGTTTTTAAGTATAAAATCTATAAATATAAAGTTAGCTATGTTTTTTTATGTAGAAACACTCCTCCCATTTGCTGGTTATTGAAGTTATGTCAAATATGATAGTGTGATTTAATAATTTGTTCTATCACATCCCAAACAGCAAGTATTGTGTGTTTATTAAACTACTTTGACACTTGCAGCCTGACAGGGACCCTTCATGGCTGTAACTTTGTCTGAGGCAAATAGAAGAGGCTCGAGTGTCTACATGTGAGACATAAAAATAGCACAACTTGTCACACTGCAGGGGAGGGTCTCATACCGAACACCAAAACAACTCTTTGAACCGACCCTGTGAACAGCCGGCAGGCACATAGTGGACATTAGACAGAGAGAAAGGAACAACAGAGACAGAGAGAGAGACAGGCCTTTATAGCCAGCTCTCTCACTTAACTTTTCACACTTTTATTCGTAAGAATAGATTTTAAGCATGTCTCAAGGCAGCTTTGTCTTCACATCTACGGCCTTGCGCTCTCTCGAACTTGATGAGGACATGCTGGCGAGACACAAGCACAAAAAGCAGCTGGCTACCCATCACTTCAATAGCTATATGCTGCAGAAGGAAATCAGGGAGAGGACACTGCTGAGGACCACCATGCCACCAGCAATCTGCCACGACCTGGTCATCCAGAACGCTCTTTACACGGGAGA